AAAGGCAGCATGAAGAAAGAACTACAAGCTTTATCCCAGGAAATTCATAGAACATGCAGCGTATCGGCTATCCAAATAAATGCTTTTTGGATTCCAAGGGAATTGAATGAAGATGCAGATGAAATGAGCAGACAAGTAGAAAGTGCAGATTGGGGTATTAAACAGCAAATATGTTAATGAGACGTTGGGGTAAAATGGACGTAGATTTATTTGCAGACGAGTTCAATACTAAGTGTTCAACATTTGTGTCTAGATACCCAAGTGCAAAAGCCGCTGGAGAAGATGCATTCGCTTGGAAAGAATGGTGGTCTGCACCGTACCGAACATGGGTCGTCCCACCGCCGTCACTGCTTTGCAAATCCATCAGGTGGGGAAGTTTGTTCGGTACCAGAGGTATTTGGGGGTTTCCCAAATGGACATCGCATCCAGTATGGCCTTTACTAATAAACGAGAAAGGTCAGTTTCAAAACTTTGTGAAAGATTCTCTGACTTTTGGTCAAGGTGCAAAAATTTTAATACCTAAATAATATTTTAATACCTATAATTTTAATTTTAATACCTACCTTTAATACCTTTAATATAAATTACCTTTTAATACCTGAATGGGTGATACCGAATGTTGTGGCGACTTCTTGACGGCTCTTTCCTCGATTTACTTCAGCCACAATAAGTTCTTTATCATACTCAGTCAAATTCGAACGATTTGGAATCTTAAAATTTAAAATGTATTGTTATTTTTGAAATTGTTCCAAACTTTTGGACCCCTAAAAAATGGGTGTTCCGAGAAAAAGCGCAAGACAAAAAAAGGATCAAATATCAAATAAAATCAAGTTAATATTCAGAAAGTTCACAAAAAATGCGACAAAAATAGTTTTTAAAGTAACAAAATTGGATGTATCCAACGCAAGCTACATCGAGTTGAAGTTGCCGGAAGGTGATTGTTCCAAACTTTTGGACTCTACTGTATGTAGCATATTATGGGACAATAGATGACCCCGACGATAGGTGACCAAACCGATCAAATCTAATTAGTAACTATTGAGGCTGCGCATTAGGGGAAAAGATTTCGAACGCTTTTTTGTCGTTCTCGTTCCTCTGCAGCTAACGATCCTCTCGGCAACAAGCCAGATTTGATGCTGTCCAAATTTGCTTTTGTCGTATCCAATTCTTGTCGCCACAATAAAAGAACTGCATCGATGCGCGGACAACGAACAAAAACATTAAATAAAGTCATTTATTGTCGGTTTGATCACCTATTGTTCTGTCACCTATTGTCTGGGAATCTATGTAGCATACTGCCGTTGATGTAAGTGATGTAGAACTGATTTCGTGCAAACTTGCAATTCGGTAACTTTAACCTTATTCAGTTGTTTTTCGAACTGGTTTGAGTAGATATGTGAAACGAACGCTCTCTTGTACATCGACGGTTGCCGGGTATCCCGCGACAATCTCTGTCAGTTTTTAAACGTAACAGAACAAAATTCTTCAAATTCTACTCAAATTACAGGGTGCACCATAATTGTCGCAACACATTTACTCCCCAAGACGTTAAAGTCGATTCCGATAACTACCTGGCTCTTCTCAAAGATGAGCCTTTGCTCTGGGAAATCGTAAACATTTAGGAAATCGCATTTGGCCTTATCAGCAATATGGCGCACTGGCCCACAAATGCAAGAAAGTCTAAGAGTTCTGCTAAAATAACTTCCCGGACTTCATTTCTTTTTCGGAGTTTCTCACCTAGCTCTCCAGAATTCAACCCAATGGATTTTTCAGTGTGGTCGGTTTTAGAAGTCGGTCGGCTTGTTCAAAGCCCCACAAAAACATCGAAAGCTTGAAGAAATGACTGTTGAAAGCGTGGGAAGAGCTCGATCCAGCCTATTTGGTCCCCACCATTGACGCCTTCTCGAAACGCCTGCGAGCCTGCTCAAATGCTAATGGTGACCCCCGTTCTTGTCTGCCTTAAAATCAGAACTTTATCTTCTTGCGACAATTATGGCACACCCTGTATTTTCATTTTCAGCTCAACTCCGATGCTTCGGAAACAATCGACGGAGATCCATCGGCTGTGGCCGTGCTCACATGCACTGGCACTGAATGGACTTTCACTTATATTGAAGCCACTGTGGCTATAGACACGATTGGATGTTTCTCAATTACTTGAGAAAACGATCGGCTTTTCGAGGCCGCTCAGATGTCCCAGTTTGAGCACTTTTTTCAAAAGAAACCCGCTTTGGTGTCACTAGAAAAGTTGTAGAGAATCAAAAATTAGGCTTATAGCCAAATTTCCAAAAAGATACACTTAGTAGTTTTGCTTAAAATGCAAGTTTTGTAAAAATTCGTAAATTTGGCATTTCTTGAAAACCAGTTTTTGAATCGTTCTGAAAATTTGGAAATAAGCTTGATTTTTGATTCTCTACAACTTTTCCGTTGACACCAAAATGGGTTTCTTTTGAAGAAAGTGCTCAAACTGTCACATATCACAATAGCCCGCAGTTTTCAATTCACCAATCCAATAGTTTTAGTTACATAAATATATGTACAATTTATTAGATGCCAATATAAAAATCCTACTTGCTTCGCTTTTTTATTTCTTGAAAATCATAAGAAATTTCGCTTGCTTGCTAAAATTGCTAAAATTGCTTGTTCATGAAAGAGATTCTGCGTCTTATCAATTTTTTGCTTCTCCACATAAATGCGGATCACTTTTCTTTTTGAAGCTCTTTTGAAGTTCTTCTTTTTTATGGTTTCCTTTATTGATTCAAAAATAAAATGGAAAATTGAATGTAGATCTTTAATCAATCTTTGTATTTTCTCAAGCCTCATAGGCAAAAGAAAACTTTTTTATTTTAAAGGCTTTGATTTTAAATAAACCTTCAAATTTTATCTGTCTAAAAACACTATTTACATTTACATTAAAGTAAAAAAAAATAGAAAGTATGAAAAATTTGAATTTTTTAAAACTTCTAAAGTTTATCCTTTAACATGTAAACAAAATTTCATTCGATCGTTTTTATCCAAAAACTTTCGCAAAAGAAGATAAGAATTCTGTTTACAAAGACTTTTCTGGTCTATTTATTATTATTATTATTATTATTCTTTTTATTTTTTTATTTTATTATTCTAGCACATTCTAGCATGATTCTAGCACAATCATTCGACATAAAAATGAGGTTTTAAACATAAAACTTATACAAGTTTTTCTCCTATTTTTCTCCTTGAAATACACTCTGTCAAAAAATTATAGACGCTCCCTGTTTTTTGCTAGTTTAGAGACGGATATAAGTGCTAGTCCAGTGAAAAGTATTTTTTAGTTTCTTTAATGTAAAAAAACAACCCATGCAAAATTTCAAGTCATTTCACTCATCCAAAGTACTTTATCGTACAAAAAACGTTTTATCAGCTGTCAAAAAATTATAGACGCGCTTTTATTTGACGATTTATTCTATCAATAATTGTTAGTTTTTCTCATTTTTTTTGCTTATTAGTTATGTTTATAAATGTTTTTGCATTTTCAGATATGCCACTTGGAAAACAACTGGATGTGGTGGAAAAAACGCGTATCGATGTGCTCCACACGCTTGGCCACTCAAACAAGGACATTGCTCGTCGCATCGGACGTTCTGAAAAGTGTATTCGCACGTATCTCAAGACCAAAGTGACTCCTAAGAAGAAAGAAACACGGGGCCGGAAGAAAAAGTTGACCGATCAAGACGAACGCGTAATTACGAGACGTCTTTCCAACACGACGACATCACTCGAAGAGGTTCGCAAGGAGATGAATCTTCCGGTCACTCGCCAAACTGTGCACAACGTTGTCAAACAATCTACAATACTCAAATACAAACTCATGAAGCAAGCTCCACGACTTACAAAGGACCATAAAGCCGCCCGTATCGATTTCGCTCAAAAGAACCAGAAGACCAAATGGGAAGGAGTTGGTTTACTAGTATTTCTTATATATTTTATGTTTAGATCATTTGGAGTGACGAAAAGAAGTTCAACCTTGATGGTGCTGATGGTTTTCGAGGATATTGGAAGGATTGGGCATGGTCTTCAGCACGAGGAACTTTGGAGGTGGGTCATGTATGGTATGGGGAGCCTTTCGAGACGGTGAACTGGTCGGCTTAGAGTTTATTTCGACCCGGATGACGCTTGACTATCAACAAGTGTTGGACAAACATCTAGCCGTCTATCTGAACAACAATCCGGGCAATAACTTTACTTTTCTGCACGATAACGCGAGTATTCATGCAAGTTGCTCCACAAGAGGTTGGCTGACAGCGCACAAAATCGGCACTGTCGATTGGCCCGCTTGCAGCCCAGACTTGAACCCGATTGAGAATGTGTGGGGGACACTCGTTCGAGATGTCTACAAGGGAAACAAGCAATATTCGAGCGTGAATAAACTCAAGAAAGCCATTCAAGTAGCCTGGAATCGGCTCCAGCCAACAGCGCTCCATGACCTTGTCTCTTCGATGCCTAGACGTCTTTTTGAAGTTGGGCTAAAGCAAAGAGGGGCCACGCATTATTAATTTATTTGGTTTGTGTTGTTATTTTTATTTCTGTTAACTTTTTCTGGATAAAATAAAAGTGGGTCTATAATTTTTTGATAGCTAATAAAACGTTTTTTTGTACGATAAAGTACTTTGGATAAGTAAAATGACTTGAAATTTTGCATCGGTTGTTTTTTTACATTAAAGAAACCAAAAAATACTTTTCACTGGACTAGCACTTATATCCGGCTCTAAACTAGCAAAAAACAGGGGGCGTCTATAATTTTTTGGCAGAGTGTAGATCTCTTATTTCTTCTTATTTCTTGTTTTAAAAAAATCTTTTCTTTGAAACTAATTTCAAGAATTTTAGAGTTTTAGTTTCCAAAGGCAATGACCGATGATTTCAATGAGGATCCTTTCGAGGCGAGAAGGAACAGAAGTTCGGAGAAGCGAAAGACCGAAAAAGCAACTTTCGTCCTCAGCGCCCTCAGCAGTGACAAGGATCCGATGTCCGTTCAATTCCCTTCGGGATATGAACCAGACACGGTCAGACAAAGTTCCAATCAAAGTTTGAGCAGCATTGCTGTTGTCAGTGTTTTTGTAACTTACTGTATTTCTTAGAAGGCCGTTCTCGAATAAAAGATCGTCTCGAATATCAGGCCGGTTTTTTATTTGAAGTTTTCACTTATTTTCTATTTTGCGCTAAAATTGCCGTGTCCGAAATCAGAAAAGTAAGCCCAAAAGCGTAGTCTTATTTAGTTTTGTGTTTCTGATGTTTTGTGTTTTTTTTCTGACCCATCAAAAAGAAATTTGATGAGCTCTACACGGACTGGCTATCAAATGAAACGAGGATTTGTACGAAAGGTGGAAACCCTCGCCCATCAGAAATGGATTAGTTTCTTCAGTGAATGATAACCGCTTGGGAAGGCCTACCAAAAAAGCTAATCGAGAAATCTTTTAAAAATTGTGGAATCGAATGCATTGAATGGCAGCGAAGATGATCAAATTGTTTGTTTCCGCAAAGGGAAACTCTTGAAAATGGTCATTGCAAGCTGAATATTGCGTTATTCGAGGGGAAAACTAGCAAAACTCTAGTAAAACTCTAGTCGACGCTGATGGGGATAAAAACAATGGTTACTGTGACACTCACAGTACTTATTGTGACTGACTGAGTATTCAACTTTGAGCTCAAATATCTGGGTGCTTTTAATGGCTTTTGCCCCATCCAAATGGCACATTTACAAGTCCAAATTTTATGGAGAATCGAATGGTACCATTCTTAGATTGATCCGAAGGCTAGAAGTATGATTTTCAAGCCTCGGATCCGTCTACAAATGGCACCATTCGGTTCTCCATCCAATTTTGACTTATTAATGCGCCCCTTATTAATTGGATGGGGTAAAAGTTCCAAGGATCACCGTGGAAATCGGCCTCAAAGTTGGTCACTCAGTCAGTCACAGGGAGCACTGTGACTGACCCGGTACCAATGAAAGTCAACTTCTAGACTGCCGATCGGTCTGAAACTCGGGGAAATATCTGTGAGCTGAATTGCCGATGGTTTTCCGTTTGGTTTTTCGTAATTCTCCGGGATAAACAGGATAAACAAATAAGCAAAAATATGGCCACAAATTTTTTGATTTCTAATTAACTCCAAATAATTTTTCAGGAAGACGCTGTCTATCGAGCAAATGTGCCAAAAGAAAACTATCACATAATTGGCGAGGGAAAGTATTCGTATGTGATGTGGGTTTTTGATCAGAAATAATTCCCATAAATTACCAAAACGTAAATTCATTTTTCAATGAAACCGCCGTTGCTTCCAGAGCCGCCAAACTCGATTACAACCATGTGGAGGGCAAGAACTCGGACACAAATTCAAAGCCTAAGATGATGCATGTCACGTGCAAACGGTTGGTCGTTGCATAAAGTTCAAGTTTTTAAACAATCGTTCTTTTAGCTATGATCTGGAGCAGCTGAAGATGACGCGCGATGGCTACACAAGAATCAGACGGGAGCTGCAAATCTTTCGCTTGCACCGTCACGAGAATGTAAGAAATATCCATTCTAACTATTGCAAATTACCGTAAAACTTTTAATATACGTAGATGTACGTCTATTTTTCAAGTACACATTAGAGTGTACGTGCATTAGAGCATGTACGTCGCAGTCGAAAAAGAGTGCCTCTTCTGCATTTAAAGAATCCATCCCTAGAAAAAAGAGAATTTTATTGAAAACTTGAAAGTAAGCATAGATAAATTCTTATTTTAGTTAAATAAATAGAAAAAAATTAAATTAACACAAATATGTACCTAAAAATAGATTTATTGAAAACCAATAATGTGATACAAACAAAGGATACATAATAAGACATAAAGGTCTAAACACACAATTTTATGGCACTGCGGCCATTACTCCTATTGCCCCTATTACTCAAAATGTTGTGAAAGAAAAAGCCCACTTGGGTGGGAAAAAGAAACATTTTTATGTTCCCATCATGATTAAACTTTCGACCTTCCGCTTAATAGACAAGACTTCTAACCGGTCGGCCATCTGGCTCTCATTTACCTAGGTAAAATAAAATCCTTATAAAAATTAAATTATTAAAAAATGACTACGCAACATTCTCGAACAACATTTGTAAAAATGTATTAGAAAAAAGGTACACTCAAAAAGCGCGATTTAGAAAAGAGGGTACACCTATTGGAACATACCGTATTTTCTCTAATAGTAATGCACCCTGAGCGTCGCCTAAATTCCTCAAAATCTCGAGAACCGTTTATCAGAATCTATTGATCTGGGGTCGGAAAATGTAGCTGACAATGATATCTAGTGGGGGATTTGAGTGTTGAGCTTCTGCAAAAGCTTGGAAACCGTAAAATAGCCACTAACTCGGCTCGTCGGGTGCACTACTATTAGAGAAAATACGGTATACGTCTAATAGAGCATGTACGTATATTAGAAGTTTTACAATAATTTATAGATCGTCGACTTTTACGAGGTGTTCACCGAGCTAGCTGCTGGTCTACCGGCGTTTATATACGTTGTCTCCGAGAGGATGAACCATAGTCTAGCCGAGTATTACGAGTAAGTGCATTGAGTACGTTTTTTCGAGTATTTTGTTAAGGATTTTGACAACCAAGAAGATAGAAGAGGTCGACGTTCTTCACTTGGGCGCCCTTCTGACGCAAATACTTCGAGCGCTCAGCTACCTCCATCAGCGGGGAATCATGCATCGGGTGAGGGTGGCTGGAGTGAAATGAAAGCATAGAAACAGACAAGTGGTTGCCCATTATAACTGAAAATGTCACGTAGATTCAATTAGTCAATTACCATAAACGAAATTTCGAAACAACTAGTGCACCACGATGAATGGAAGCATAGAATTATTCAAGTTATTGCCTATTAACTGGCCCGCGCGCGAAAAAGGCAAAAAAAAAATCGTTTTCTATAGGATTTTTAGGATAAAAATCAAGTTGAGTGATTTTACAGTCTTACATTTCGGCCATAAATAACTTTGTATTTCTTGAATGCATTAAAACCTTGCATTCCTACTTTTTCTTGCTTTGGTTTAGACATTATCTGGAAAAATTTAATTTCATGTGGCAAAAATAGCGAAAAATCGTGTAACTGTAGCAACAAAAAAAGTCTAATTTTACTCTTTTTCTCTTTTGAGTTACGGTAATTTATCCATTTTATGGTGCGCCATCACCCAGAAACCACAGTTTTATTTTCAAAAGGTTATAACTTTTTGTAGAGTTTTTCAATTTTTATGTTTTTGGTATCAAAAGATAGAGAAAAATCGGTAGAATCAAACTTATGGTTTAGATTTTGTTTTAAGCGTCTATTTTCGAAATTTTACTAGAAAACGATTTTCGTCTTGTGTCTTGAGGATTAAAGTATTGAAGAAAAGTGAGAGTATTGAAAAAAAGAAGTTATGTTACGATAAGTTACGGTATTGAATATCTTTTTACCAGAATATCTCACCAACGAACATCGGCATTAACACGGGAACTTTCACGGTGAAGCTCTTCGATTTCGGATTGGCCAGGTGAGCGATGAAAAAAAAGCCAAGTTCACATTCGACTTTCAGAGAAATAAACGTGAATCTCGATCATTCGACAAACGTCGAGACCTTGCACGACTTTGCACTACAAAGCTATTGAGGACCTCTTACGGGAGCCATACGATATGAAAATCGACATTTGGGCTGCAGCACTCGTTGCCATCGAGTTGCTTGACTTGAAGCTTTTCTGGCCGTCTGGCAAGGAAAAAGACGAGCTGGTATTTCTTAACGATATTACCGATAAAGTCGACGTCGATATTGCCGTCGATTAATAAGTCACTAGCTCTCATCAACTGTTTTGAGTAGAGACCAGCATCGATGTTATGCATAGGATTCAGCAACTCATAGTACACCAAACCTCTAGAATTCCACCAGCACCTGCTCTCGCTTATGGCTTGACTAAAACTCATGAAAATTTGTGTCTACAGGCTCAGGTGTCTCACAATTATGGTGACAAAATATCAACAAAAGTCTATCGATCTTATTTTGTAATAGTAATAAGAACTTTTTTTTTGATTTAAAACAACTGTAAAAAGATCAAAAAACATTTAGAATTTGTTTAAAATGGTCACTATTACCATTAACACATTTTCTTAAGCACTTTGTTTTTCTTAAGCGATCTCCCAATCATCAATGAATTTTTCGGTGATGCAATCTGGGAAGTTGTTGGAGATCCAATCTTGTGTATTGTGAGATGAAGTACTATCTTGTTGAGAAACCCAATCATTATTGGCATCAAAGCCAAAACTTTTTTTCTCAAGCATATTGACGTAAGCTTTCTTGTTAATTTTGACTCCATAGGGAATGAAGATCAAGGACGTCTTTCCGCCATGAGTGACGCCCAAACCATGATTTGTTGAGGCTTTTGTTGTCTTGAAACAATTCTGTCGTCTAGCGGAAGAGGTTCTTTGGACCAAGTTCGATCGTTCTAATGGTTGGCCTGCTCAATACCAAACCACTTTTCATCCGTTAAGAGGATCTTCCGGTGTCGGCCAGCACCAAATCGCCTTAAAAGTCGTTTGCAACGTTCCAAACGTTTTCTTTTCATTGAATCTGTCAAAAAATGTTCTTTTATTCTTTTTCTAGCTTTTATTCCAGCTGTTTTAAGGATTCGATGAACCGAACTTTTTCCAATACCAACAAACTTGACCATTTTTCGAACGGAATTCTTTGAGGAGTTTGGGGTTCCTTTTAAGTCGATCAGAAATCTTTCGACAATTTGTTGAATTGTTGGCATTCTTTGGTGGATCTCGTCGTTTACGTCGTTTTATTGGAGCCCATTTCTTTGAAACGGTTCACAGCGCGAAAAACATTCTGTCTCTTTTCCTCCAAGATTCGAGATTTCTCTGGGAGTGTTTTTCCTTGCTGATGAAGAGTAAGAATGGCTGGACACAGCTCTTTCTTTGACTTCATACCTAAAAAACGATCAAATCATCCAATTAATGAGAAGAAAAGAAAAAAAGAAACACAGAAAGCAGTTAAACGTAGTAAGATAGCGCGTCACCATAATTGTGGGACACCCTGCACGTTATTTTTGGTCCTCTACCCAAATCCGGTTTTAGTTTTTGTTTTAGTTTTAGTTTTTTTTAACCGGCAAGTAGTTTTTGAAAAACATGCCAAACAAGGTTTTTGACGCAAATTGCCAGCGACAAAATCGCAAAAAGAACCTTTGCCAAAAAGGGTGCGATTACGCGTGGCCAGTGGCCACAGTCTTTGAGTCTTATGAATCCTAATTGTTAGTATCAAAGTAAAAAGTCTGAATGAGCAAACGACTGGCTACGGTAGCTTGTAGGTAGCTTGTGTGAAATGCTTTAGTCGATAGCAACAAACTCTGCTTATGGTTGTGAGAGAAAGATTCAAGAGTTTAGGTTCGTCGTCGCGGCCCCGAGAACGCGATAAAAGATCGAGTTTTTGTGGTCCTCGGCGTGCCCACGGATAGATACAAATCAATGTGAGAGAATTGATGACTAAGCAGTCGTTTTTACTTTTCTAAAGTTCAATCCAATAGCTAAGGCAGTCGCTTAAAAACAAAACCTAGCGCAGATTCTCTCGACCGGTCTCGACCCCACCCTGTGATTCGACTCGCTCGAAGAGGTGCTGATAAAAAAGACCAAGCGAAAAATCAAATATAAAAACCAAAGCGAAATAACAGGCAATGGACTGTTTAAAAACTTAGGATAAATGAATTTTAGGCGAAAATTTCCGTGATTTGGTGACCCGGATGCTGAATCCCGATCGTCAGAAGAGACTCAGTGCCGACGAGTGTCTAAAGCATCCGTTTCTGAGGGCTTTCAATGTTGGCACAAAAAGTTGTACAGCAGAAGATTGATTTTTTTGAATTTCAGAAAATCTACCAAGAGAAGTCGGTTAGCAGTCAACCAAAAACTGACCAGCAACTCCGTAAACGCAATGAGAACGACAAAAAGATGGTCCTGGAAGAGCTGGAGGCTGGTCTGACTCAGCTGTCCTTTCGTCCAAAGCCATTCATGCCATAAAATTGATTGTGGATGTAGATTGAAGGTCTACAAAATTGCGAATGCGATAAACATTTGTTTGTTGATACTCGATTCTATCAAAGCTCAAAGTCAGAATCTAATCATCAGTTTAACACAAGTTTAGAGAACAAAAGTTCTGAATTTTTGCCTAAAATTTGCATAAAATTTAACCATTTTTTCTATTGGGTTGGTGCATTGAAAACTGCGGGCCATTTCGCGGGACTCGCAGATAAAAAAACAATAGCATTGAACCAGCTGAAAGGGGGGCTTGTTTACTTCAAGATTTCCTCTAAATATTACGAAAAAATTATGTCAGTTTGCAATTATGCAAAATTAGAGTCAAATTAAACCTCACTGACCCCCAGAAGTGGCAGCGCGCCTCGATCAGTGCCACCCATCTCTCACGATACGAAAGGAAATTTTTTTCTTTTTCGAATTGTGATAGGAGATGAGAAATGGGTTTTATCTGTGAACTTTCGGAGGAAGCGGCAATGGGTGAGGTCAGGCGAGAAACCCGAAAATGACCCCAAGCCCGATTTGCACCACAAAAAGTTTATGCTCTGCGTTTTCTGGGTTTTGGAAGTAGTGGTGTGCTGGGAGTTGCTGGATAGCAAGAAGACCCTTAATGCAATCAAATACAGTGAACAGTTGGAAAAGGTGAATGAATCCCTGAAGAAGAATAGGCCCTCCAAGTCGAGAGATCATTCTCTTCCACGACAACGCGCGCCCTCATGTTGGAAAACTGACTCGCTCTAAAATCAACAGCCTTGGCTGGGAACTTTTGGCGCATCCCCCATACAGTCCGGACCTCGCCCCTTCTGATTACTATTTTTTCCGGAGCATGAGTAATGAGCTTGCGGGAGAACACTTCGATTCGGAAGAAGCAGTCAAAAATTGGCTTTGAAAGCTTTTCGATTCAAAACCAAAATCCTACTACGAAAGAGGAATCCGCAAATTGCCTGTAAAATGGGCAGAAGTTGCCAATAATAATGGAAATTATTTGGAATGAATTTATGGTTTTATGTTGAATAAATTTTAGTTCAAAGTCCCGCAGTTTTCAATGCACCAACCCAATATTTTCCATTATTTGCTATCGATTCACTTTTTTCGACAGATAAGAAATAAACGACTTCGCTTCCAGCAAGGCCACTCTTCATTATGCTCCCTTTTTTTCTTATCTTTCCACTTTTTTCGTTTAAACTAAACCTCGACAAAAAATTTCATCTTTCACGTTTTTATTTGTTATATGTTATATTTGCAAAACTAGAAATATGAAAAGTTTAGAGGAAATGGTAAATAAAGTAACAGTATCAAACAGGAATCGAGGGAGGGATTCCGTTCCTGTTTCTGTTGAGATGGTAGCTGTTGATATGGAACCCTTGAGTAGGTTTTTTCGAAAGTTCTCCAATTCACCAATCAAAAGGTTTCGTATTAGCTTTGATTAATGAATTAAAAGGTATAAATATTTGTTCTTTTTTGATCACCATAGCTTTGGTGTCAATTGCAGTTCCTCCACCTGTTCAACCTGTTCAATCTGTTCCCCCCCCCCCCCCCCCCCCCCCCCCCCCCTTTCCCCCCCCGGGGGGGTTTTTTTTTTTTTGACATTTTTTTTTTCGCGAAAACCTCGAAAGCTCATGAATCCTTGAGTACCGTACTTTTGAGAAATCCGTCTGAAAAAAAGATCATCGAATGGCTGAACTGCCCTCTTGGTAAGTGTTTTCTACTTTTTTCACAGAAATTTATTTTCAACAAATTTTGCCCTCTTTTGTTTTTCATGAAAATATTAGGTACTCCGAAAAATGATTGCGTTTTTCTTAATGATTTTCAATTGCAAAATTTTTTGTTAAACAACAATCAAATTAATCAAAATAACAAGCGTTAAAATCAATGCACTTTTGCCAACGAGTAGCCGGTTTTTCGGCCCTTGCGGCAAAAAGTCGGCTGTCTAGAGGCGATGAAGTCTTCGATAGCATTTTTCACCTCTGTTTCGTTCTTGAAAATTTTGGCTACGACGTAACGATCGAGATGCTTGAAAAAAATGATAATATATTGGAGAAAGATCAAATGAATACGGCGGATGAGGAAGAAATTCGATTTCCAAACTTGGCAAGCAATTGAGGGGCTTCAAAGGTATAGATTCTGGCTAGCATTGTCCTGTAACAGAGTTGTCTCTTTCGATTGACCAAAGACGGGCTCAAGTTCCTCAATTTTGAATGCATTTCTTCAATTTGTTAATATAAATGTCTGAATTTATACTTTCTCCTGTTTTGAGTAAAGTATAATGAATAACATCTTTTTTTATACCACCAAACAGAGAGCATCATCTTCTTTGGATGAAGATCAGGCTTCGGGGAACGAATAAGTTGCTTCTCCTTTGTTTAGTCACTCCGAATTTCATTTTCGATTGTCATATAGCATCGCACATGATCAGCCGGTTCAAAAATGGATCTCTTTTGTTCCGAGATTTCAACGAAGAGACAGCGAGGAAGCGTGTAAAATACTGGCGGCCGTCCAATTGATGAGGTATCCACTTCTCCAGTTTTTTAATCTTTTCTTCCTTTTTTTTTTTTTTTTCAACACCCCCCCATTTTTGTGTTTTTTTTTTTTTCGCCCCATAAGCCCCCGGATTGACTGTGACAAGTTGTCTTAAATCATCACCATCAATAAGTCTTGGGCGACCGCGACCCTCCTTGTCACAAGATCCTTGTCTCCTTCCCGGAATTGTTTGAACCAAAATTGAGCGGTTCTAACAGAAGTAGGCTCATGACCAAATGTTGATTGAGGCAAATGCACGATTGATGTTTTCGGCCGCAACCGTTGCGCTATGTTCAAGCTTGAACTCATACAAAAAAATCGAACCCTTTTTTTTTTTTCCCCCTCTTTTTTTGCCCCGCCCAAAATTTTTTTTTTTTTTTAAAAAAAACCAATTTTTTTTGGAAAAAAAAAAATTTTTTTAAAAAATTTTTTTTTAAAATTTTTAAAGGAATCTGCACTGAAAAAACTCAAAAACAAGGTCCGAAATAATTCATTTCAAAAAACGCAATTATTTTCCGGGAGTACCTAATACCTGATTGGTTTTGTAGTTTTTTGAAAGGTGAACCAGAGAATAATGTGTTGTTTAGACCAGTACCCTCTTTGGACAGACGCTCAAAAAAAATGGAATGAAATTGTCATGGAATCGTTGTCGCCTGTCCCTGGAGAGACTCCGCTCGTATTTGTTCTTCGACGCGGATTCACAGACGCACTGAAAGAGTGAGTCTCTTGCCTAACCAATCCTATCGTGATTCAAAAAATCATTTGCCTACAGTATGTTGGAACACGCTCAATATGAGGATGTGAAATTTGTCCCGAACCAACCCGACACCGCAGCGAACAACAGAACAAGTGAAATGCAGAAACCAGTGAATGCAAAAAAACAGCTAATTTTCAAGTAGGAAAACAGTTTTCATGCAAATTCACGCTGCTCTCCCAGATCGAGTCCCAGGCTGCTTCATCAGGCTGTTGGACTCAACAACAACAAGGCTGTCGAAATGCTGATCGAGGTGGCTTGTTTAGAAACAGTTTGCCAAGTGAAGCAAAGCTTTAGTTTGGCTATTTTCCTGATAAAGAGGATGAACTTGAAGGTTCAAATGTGCACACCACTGCACTTGGCTGCTGAGCGCAACGACCCAAAAATAACAACTGAACTCTTGAAGGTTACTTCTGTACAAGACAGAATGCCATGAAAACTAAACCAAACTTGGTTTATTTATTGTAAACCCACCCGGAAGAAGAAGCAGAATCAAGAGCTGCTCGAGAAAAAAGACTCGAAAGGGTGCACCCCTTTCCTTTCTGCGGCCCAGTCTGGATCTTGGGAAGTTGCGGAGGTTGGAAATATTAGACTGGCTCATAAGTCTTGGTAACACTTTGTTCTTTCGAGAGTTATTTAGGAGCTCGTCTTTCCCTGTTCTGTTTACATCCAAAAAGTTGGCTTATCAGTGCCCTTTCAAAACATTTCATATGCCGACTCCAATGCTTCTACTTTTTTTTTTGTTTTAAGGCTACCCCAGATCTTCCACCAGGACACCTGATACACGTTATGTTGTACGAGTTCAAAAAAGGATCTTCTTTGTTGGTGGCCCAGAATAATATTGAAAACGTGAATGGCAATGACGCTTCTTCTAAAAACACAATTCAACGTTGGTTTGCCAAGTTCAGAAATGGTGAAAATTCCCCTTAAAGACAAAGAGCATGAGGGAAGATCTTTTCAATTGAAAAATGAAGAGATTCTTTAAAAAATTCAAGACAACCCTCGGATTTCTACTCGTGAAATAGCGAATGGGATTGGGCACTCAGATTCAACAATTGAAAAAGCCTTTTCAAAACGAAGACGACCTCAAAAAGTCGCTCCAAAACTATTTCGACTCAGAACCAAAAATTTTCTACGAGAGAGGAACTCACCAACTTCCAACAAAATGGGTGAAGGTTATCCAAAATAATGGAAACTATTTCGAGTAACCGCTTGTTTGGTTGTGAATAAATTTTTAAACAAAAATGTTACCAAGACTTATGGGCTAACCTAATAAAAAAAATGTTTTACAAAAGATAAAAATTGTTAGTTTTTAAGGTGATACTCAAAGTTGCCAAGGATATTGACGTGGAGTTTTTGTTGTCAACGATCAAGGCCAGCGCCGCGCAAGGCACGATCAAGGGCTCAATCAACGTTGTAACTATTTGTTTTACACTTAGAGATGTCAAATTTTTGGAGGTTTGTTCTCAGGGATAAAAACCTTTACATAACTTCTTGAATAACTGTTTGCAAAACAGAATTTTCTATTCTTCGTTATGGATCTACTGCGAGAACTGAAAGAAGAAGCCAAGATGAGCAATATAAAAAAATTGAAGCGGAGATCTATTCGTTTTGCGAATTGTGAGTAAATATTGTAAATAAATATAACTTTTCAATAGGAACAGTCGGCAATTTTATTACTTTTTTAACCTATTTGAAAGTTAATTTTTCAGAGAAAAATCGGCACTTTTTTTGACTGCGAGACATGGCTCTTTGAAAAGCATAAAAGTGGGTGAAAACTGTAAGATTTTCAAAAGAATTTGTTGTAAGATATCAACAAGTCTTTAATTAAACTACAAATAAACAGATCACCTTTCATTTTTAGCTTTTGATTGACGCTGGCACAAGCCGAAACGAACCCCTAGTAGACGGGCAAACGGCCCTTCATATTTCCGCACTGTATGGTCACCGAGAAGTGGTTGGATTTATGGATATAAGCTTTTTCGATCAAAAATTAACACTTAAACTTATTGCTGGTAAACTTAAAACTTTAGGTGAAGTATTTGTTGGACAATAGGGCGACGACGTTGATCGATAAGACTGATAAAAACGAGAACACGGCACTGCATCTAGCTGCGGCAAACGGTGATGACCGTCAAGCAGTTCAATAAACAAATGGTTTAGGTCATGCGGGAGTTTGTGATGAATTAAAAGCAATAGCTGACTTAACAAGAAGAAACGTTGACGGCTCAACAGCTTTTGAGTTGGCCATTTTGGTGAGTGATGGCGAATAAAGCAAATCATAATGTGTGACAAATATTCCAGTAGGGCACAAATCTCCTCAGCAACATCTATAAAATCCGAGAAATTGTAAGCCACGTCAGCTCGTCCCACCGCGACTAAAAGATCCCATTGGCTTTGAATTGTTTCGTCAGAATTATCAGTCACGTCATCCGCTTCATCTGGTAGAAATCGGGAAAACATCACCAAAATACTCCATTCTCCCCAAGATTAAAAACAGCAGTGGCTCGATAATCGCTAAGTTGCTTATGCAAGACGTCCTTTTTCCAATCCTGCAAATCACCCACGTTGACATCCTTCTCCTCGACAAAGACGACAACCATCCTTTGCTTGCTTTAAAATCAGTATTTCCAAAGCATTTAGCAAGAGAAAGGGCCTACTGACGAAGAATTTGGCCGCTAATCGGAGTATTTTAACTGCGCTGCTCCGTGAACCATGATAGAATTGCCTCGTCTAAAGTTTCGTCCTTCGCTACACGTGCTCTTTTGATTGTTGGCAATGAAATCAATGGCTTGAATTTCATCATTCGTGTATTTTCCTTCTCGTTTATCCTCGATAAGTTGAGTCTTCTGCGCCAGAGAGAATAAATCGTTTGTTCATCGCCATCCTTAAAATAAGACAGCAAACAAAAGTATTGAAAGAAAAATAAGAGAAAGACCAAGAATAAGCAAATATAAACTTTAAAATACATATGTATACTTAAACGCTATGTAAGTATGAAATATTAGGTTATCCGGAATGAAAATACCCTTTTAATGAAAACCAAAATTATCTCCACAAAAAGAAAACAATGCGCTCTGTTCCAAAAGATATTCTCCGTTGTTGGCAATAGTCTTTCTCCATTTTTCTTTCAAATCTCGGATCCCCTTGCTGAAGAAATCCTGAGGCTGCAAGTCGAAGTATTGGCCTACCCAAATTCGGACTTCGTCGTGGTCCTTGAAGTGTTTGTCGGGCAGGAATTGCTTCATAGATCGAAATAAGTGGTAGTCTGAGAGTGCCAGATCTGGACTATACGGCGGATGCGGGAGACATTCCCAACCCAATTCCTCGAGTTTTTCCTGCGCCTTCTTTGCTGTGTGTGGGCGCGCGTTATCTTGCAGATATCTTACAGTCGATGCGTTTAGATCTTGTTTCTTGAGAGCCTGGTCTAATCATTCCAGCTGTTGCACATATAGATCTGAGGTGACTGTTGAACGAGGAGGTAGAAACTCAAAGTGTATAAGACCACGAGAATTCCACCAAACAGCCCCCCCCCCCAACCCCCCCCCAAACCCACCCAAAACCCCCCCAAAAACCAACCAAAAAAAAAAAAAAAAAAAAAACAAAAAAACACATAAAATGGAATTCCACCTTTTGTTCATGCGGATCACGTTGTGGCGTCGTTTCTGGCTGTTCTACTGGACTAAACCACTGCCGCTTTCGCGATGGGTTATCGTAGTAAATCCATTTTTCATCGGCCGTCAAAATAGTGCCCCAAAAACCTCGATTTTTTTTTTGATTGACGAAGAAGAATACCAGCCATAGTCACTCGAGTAGATTTATTGGCGTCACTAAGTTGATGGGATACCCATTTCCCGACGAGATTCGCTTTACCCAAACGATGTAAATAGTACGCAATGGTTGTGTGGCCTACAGCAAACATTGTGGCAAGTTCCCGAGTTGACAAGGCTGGGCCATCTTCTATGGCTTATCGAAGATCGTCATCGTTGAGCGCTGGAGGAGTGACCAGGTCTGTAGAGTTTCGTCTCCCTCTCCAAATCGTTGAAACCATTTTTTTACAAGTTTCCTCTGAGTAAGCAGCTTCTCCAAAAACTTTCAAGATTGAGCTATGGCTCTCCCGGACACTTTTTCCTTGTTTCAAGTCGTAGAGCAAGCACACCCGAATCGGTACTTCTGATCTTTCATTCTAAACAAATTCAAAATTAGAAGGCAGTAAATTTTTATAAAAACATAGAATTAGAAAAGATATAGAGTGGTCCACAACAGTATTGTCCCATTGCCATCCAAAAGTTTCTTTCGTACGAAAATCTTGCAAAAAAACGATATTCCCAACAAGCGTAGGGTTTTTTGCTTACCTATAATACTCTACTTTTCAAGATTATAAGATTTATCCGTATACATTGCATAAAATTAAAGTATAAAACAAAAACAATAAGTTACTTAACAAATAGCTCCACAAAAGTAATGTCCCATTTGCAAATAATTAACAATTTTTTCAAAAAAATTAATATTTGTTTGGTCCTCAAAGAAAAAAATTTAGATAACAAAATACTAAAAAAGGTTCTTACCCCAACACATTATGTTTCCGCCGTTGAATTTCACGGTGGGCCGAATGTACTTGAGTGCGTATCGCTTTCCAGTCGGTCGCTGAATAAGATGGTTTCCATTCGCGTGAAATAGATTGATTTTTGTCTCATCGGTAAATAAGACTTTCGCCCAATCACGTGTCGTCCAACTTCGGTAGGTCCGTGCAAAGTCAGGGCGCTGCTTCCGGTGCTTAGAATTTATCAGAGGTTTACGGGCAGCCCTTCTTGCATATAATCCAGCTTGATTTAATCGTCGTCTGATCGTTTCCGGCGATACAACCTTGTTAAATTGATCCCTCATCATTTGGCTTCCATCGGTTGGTGTTTTGTTAGGATCGTTTTTCACCATTGGGATCACGGCTCGATCTTCCTTTTTGGTTGTGATTGGTCGTCGGCCACTCTTGAGGCCTCGATGAAGGTTTCGGTCGACTTTTGATTGAGAAAGAATGCGGCGCACCATCCTTATCGAGCAATTGAAGAGGTTAGCCACATCCTTTTCCCGCATCCCATTTTCCCGGGCCTTGGCGATTCGGAGCTTCTTCGGAGTGTCAAGATTTTTCTTGCCAGCCATCTAAATAATAAAATAAAATACATTTAGTGTTCATAGAACACGGAAATAAAAAGAATAATCAAGGAAAACATCAATGGGAAATTACTTTTGTGGAGCTATTTGTTAAGTAACTTATTGTTTTTGTTTTATACTTTAATTTTTATGCAGTGTATACGGATAAACCTTATAATCTTGAAAAGTAGAGTATTATGGGTAAGCAAAAAACCCTA